GGTACACAAAAAAGGCTTGGCTAGCTGGATGCAAACAGGTAAATGCTGTCTTTTGTTTCCCATGGTTGTGTTAGAAGTTTATTAATAAGTGGGCATTTATCACAGAAGTGATTGTTCTGTCTCCACGTTTGTTGCATTGTCTGTGATGTATTTTCCAACGGTTATAGCTCCTGTCCTGTCCCAGCAACACTACACGGTTTGCAGCTCCAGCACATTTTTGGTTTATCTTCGGTGTCGCTTAAAATCTGCTTCCCATCGGACTAAAACCTCCACGTAATCTGAAGACAGATACTTGAAGTTATTTAAACCTTTTGCAAACTTTATGTTCTTTCTTGCTCTAGCCTTGCCAGTTACATTGTACATAACACATATATTATCATTATGCTAACTGGTTGTTCGTGTTAGACGATGTAGCTTTTTCATTTCTGAGTTATTGCTATATGTAAATAAGCCTGTTTGTAAATAATCCTCAGAGAAACAAAGAAAAAACACAATTTATGACGTTTTGTGCTGTGGTTCTTTTTTTTAAATTGCATTTATTCACAGTTCAGTTTGAAATGCTGTAGTGACTTGTATTGAACCACTTAAATATTTATAATTAATGCTACTGAAAAGATGCTATTAATTTTATATCCCACATGCAGTTCACTGTAAAGCCACTTGGTGGAGGTGTTGGTTCATAAAACATGAACAGTTTTAAGAAAGAAAAAAAACAGACCAGTTCTGAGAATACAAATTCCTGGTACAGTGGTAGATGTTCAGGTTGATAAATAATATTTTCCACACTGAAGATTATGGAGGTATTGATCAGTCTTCTCATATTTTTAAGCCTCGATTTCTCCTTTCCCCCCCCCTCTAACATCACCAGAAGTCATAATTTAAGGGGTCATTTCTCGAAAAAAGATTCCAACACTGGCAGGACAGAAGGCGACACGCCCGTTCTAAGCCGTGTCCCTCACTCCTCACATCCCTCATGATGGAAAAAGAAAGTAATCCAAAAGTAATCTAAAAGTAATCTGATTATGTTACTTTTTTAAGACACGTAACTGTAACTGTATTCGGATTACTTTCAGAGCCATGTATTCAGTAATCAGTAACTGATTACATTTACAAAGTAACCCTCCCAACCCTGCATATGTTCAGCCTCAGAAGAGAGAACAACATGCACCACCATTACAAACAACACATCAACAGTTGTAAAGACACATCTACAAGCAAATAGCAACATCCAAATAGCAGCACCTTCACCTCTAAAACTACAATACATGTTAATAAAAGCACCGAATAGCAGTCAAAGAGGAACGGGCCTGCGTGTTACTAAGATAACATAAGATGAGATAAGAAGTACTTTATTCAACCCAATTAGGGGAATGTTTGCGTGGCAGCATAAAAAGACAAGACATTGTACATTAGAGAAATGAAAAGACTATAAATAAACAATCCAACATGTAAATAATACATGCACTTGTTTTGCTGGATAAACTTGTCCTCAAAATATAAATAAAGTTGTATGAAAAGAGGATTACAAATATTATTTTAAATATCAAATAGTTGGCGAGCCCCCCCCTCAAATGGCATTTTCCCTGTGTCCTTTCTTCTTGGTGACCAACTTCCATGTGAAACAACATCATTTTATTTGTTATTTTATTTATTGACTGACTTCATTGCTTTATTTCTATTTGTATAAATATTTAGAGAAATTAAAACAATATATATCCTCCTCTGCTGCCACCTTCAGGATAGCTAGAGTAACATCAGCTCTACTGAACAGCCTCTACCTATCTATCTATCTATCTATCTATCTATCTATCTATCTATCTATCTATCTATCTATCTATCTATCTATCTATCTATCTATCTATCTATCTATCTATCTATCTATCTATCTATCTATCTATCTATCTATCCATCCATCCATCCATCCATCCATCCATCCATCCATCCATCTATCTATCTTATAATAGCAGGGTGATGCAGAGTGGGGTCGCCTATCCCTTTAAAGCTCCCATGTCATGCTTTTCCGGTTATTACCCGTCCCCTTGTGTGTTATGAAGGTTTTTATGCATGTAAACGGTGTGCAGAGTCAAAACCCTCAAAGTACACCCTGTAGCGAGTAAAACTCTAACACAGAAAATACCTCCCCAAAACGCCTCGTTGGAGATACGTCACTGCCCATTTGAGTCTTCCATTTAGTTCCGGGTACCGCATGATGTCATGCGGTACCCGGAACGAAATGGACCGATCCCGAAGAGCTATGGCCACACCCAGCGGCGCTGGCCGCACCCTCTGCCAGCCTAACATTTACTGTTGGAAGCTCTGGTTCAGTTCACAATCGATCCATTCATGCCAATGCCAAGGACCTGTTTCCTGAAATGTGAGGAGAAATCTGAGCTGTTTGTCCTACTGACGGAAGAACCACGACGAAGTCAGTGGTTGAAATTTCTGTTTAACACTGTTCCTTCAGAGGTTCGAAGAACGTTACTGTGTGCGCGGCATTTCACAGACGAAAGCTTCCAAAACATTGCCCAGTTTGAGGCCGGATATGCACAGCATTTGAAACTGAAGGACGATGCTATTCCTAGTTTGTTTGGACCGTTTGGAGCAGGGGAAGATTCGGGTACACAACCTGTAAGTTTGCGTTGTTATTTGTGTATTTATCAAACAAGGTATCTACCACGACTGTTTAAATGTGTAAACATGTTTCGGACTGCTAAGCCAGTGCTAACTGTGCTAACTAAGTTGCTAGCGTTTCCATATCAACTCTAATATCAGCAGATGGCCTTACATACATGTATCTCATAGCAGGAGAATGTCTGCATTCACACACGAAATACTCATAGACAGTATACTCCGGGTGATTTACCGTACGGTCAGTCGCGAAACGTAATTACATTACAGCTGGCGTTCCGAGCGTGTATGCTTCCGAGCTAAACAACAAGGCTACGAAGAGCTAGACATGAGTTTGCTCGGAAAAACATTGTTTTTACCCATATGAGATTGCAATTGTAAACATGTGCTTGATAGCCTAATATGAACCACTATCTGTTGTTCATAGTATAGTATAGCATATTGAACAACTGAACAACTAGCAAACGTAGATTAGCATTGTAATCCAGCTGGCAAGCTGACGAACATCAAACAACTAAGTTTATTTCACACTTCCAGCAGAGACAACGGGGAAATCCCATCTCTTTGCCCGCTCACAGACCCCCAAAGGACGGTACATTACAGTTGGCTTTCCTCCAACGCTGATAGCATGTATAGCTAACGAGGCTAGCTATACATGCTAGCGGGAAACATTGTATGACCGAACGTAGCAGACTACCCGTATAAGATTGCAATTATAAACACGTTATTGCTAGCCTAATATGAACCACTAGCTTTTGTTCATAGTAGTTTTATTACACTCCATTATAGTTGCCGTTCCTCCGAGCTAACGTTCATATCGTGTTTGCTAAGGTAAACAAGAAAGCTAGGTTAGCATATTAGCTGGCATATTACTGTGTTGATTATATAGATGGATTAGATAGATCCACACTCCTACCACAACTACTACTAACGAATCTAAAACAACTAAGTTTCTCTAATATTTTGTGATTTGCATTTGATTTCGTCCAGTCAGATCCTGCCAGACAATACATGACGGGGACGGGACTACCACACTGAGGCCTCGTCCTAAAAATCCCCGGCTGCGCCCAGGCAAGATGCCGACAACGGGGAGGAATGGATGATATACCGTGTATATATGCATATTTATGTTCATTTTGTACATTTCTAAAAATAAAGTTTGATGGAAATACTTAGTAGGCCTATCCTTTCTTCCCTGAATTAGTTGCTCCTATAACCAACACAGTCTCATGGCATTTCGTGTTATAGTCACAAAATGAATCTATTGATTCGTGTTCACCAACACGATTTTGCCATTTTTTTCATGTCACACAGAACGATTTTTAAAAGCAATGTAAATAATAACCAATTAGAAGGAAAAACAGATTTTTAAAAATACAGATTTCAGTATTCTGACACAGAACGATTTTAGAAGCAATGCATTTATATTGGTAGTATGTTTCGTGCCTGCACCAAATAATAACAAATTAGAAGGAAAAAAAGATGACAAAAAATACAGATTTCAGTATTTTGAGGCTCTGAGCCCCATTTATTTTCCTTGCGGACGGCAAAAAAACTCCGACATTATACAATTTAAAATAAAAGGGATAGGGTTAGGCTTAGGGTAAGATATTGAGTAAGAAAATGTGTTTATGAACCACACAGCTCTGGTCTTCCAAGACCCGACCGGACAAAAAGACGTGGTGCAGGCACGAAACATACTACCAATAGAAATACATTGCTTTTAAAATCGTTCTGTGTGACACGAAAAAAATGCGAAAATCGTGTTGGTGAACACGAATCAATAGATTAAATTAATTTCGTGACTATAACACGAAATGCCGTGAGACTGGGTTGCCTATAACATATCATTCATATATAGCAAACCATGATTTGATTTCTCATCAAACAGTAGTAGTTTATTACAGGTAAAAATAACTTACTCTTCTATAACAACACTTGTAGGTACAGTTCGGTTAGTTAGCGTATAAAATATACGGCTGTACCAACGCCATTATAAGACTGATGTTCCGCTCAGAGCGAGCCGAAAAAAGCACTGTTAGACATGGGCGGAGCCTCTCTGGTGGTTGACTAATCAGAACAGAGTGGCCGAGCTGACCAATCGGAGCACACTAGGCTCACAGGGAGGGGGGGGCAAGAGCTCCAACGAGTCGTTTAGTGGTGAGAGTGAATACTGCTGAATACACATACTATACAGAGATGCTGTATGCGAAACCAATGTGAGTTTGGAAAATTGCACAGTATAAATCTATTTTAGTATACCTCAACAATGTAATTATGATCAGTGGAAATGGCCATGACATGGGCCCTTTAAGAGAGAGAGGGAGGTGTGGCGCGTGCATGTGGCGCGTGCATGTGTAGAGCGAGAGTGAGCGAGCGTAGTGTGTGTCCGGAAGAGAGCGGGAGTAGCAGCAGTGATCAGTCTGTCTCCAGTTAGCTGAATAACAAAGTCCTGAGGAAACACAGCGGCCTCCCAAGGAACAGCCTGCCTGTCTGCCTCATTTCAGAGTGGGTTATTGAAGCCGAAGCCTGGTGCTTCAGTCCGGGAAGACTGCAGAGAGTCCTCCCCTGTATTCCTCCGCTACGGTCTGGGAGCAGCATCTATCTCCACTGTTGATGTAACCATGTTAATGTCCCTCTGTGGGACCAATAAAGGACTTCTGATTCTGCGGACAGACAGAAGAGAGGGGGGAGGGGCGGGTTGAAATGCGGCCTTCTTCTTTTCCCGAAGAGTCCTCTTCCTCGTAGCCCACCGTATCCCAGGATGCAATGCGCGCCAGTGACGAGGAAACAAAGAAAATGTCGGTCCGGTCTCAGAGAGAAAGCAGCACGTGAGGAGTAACTGATACATGTGAGTATCGGGTTTAATTTACTTTAATAACTGATAATTGTGAGTATTGGGTGTTTTGTTCTCGTACTGTATTTACAATAAATACTCCAGACTACGACGTGCTATATTCACGTCACGTCGGCCAATCATAAAAAAAAAAACATTAGGCTTGTTTGAGATGAGCTGCGTCTCGCCTCGAAAGTTGACGAGAATAGCCGATTGCAGCCGGGGGAGGTCTCAAAAAGCTCGCCTGAAGTCGGAAAGGTCGGAGTCGGCTTGACTCTGTTTGCAATGGCGGAAATTGCGTTGGCGTTCTTCGTTGCAGATGAAGTGGATGCAATAGAAATCCCATAATTATTATATCACTACAAATGAATGACTCAAGTGTCTGTTCATTTTAAAACAAATCAATACAAGGGGGGTTGAATCCTACATTACAAAGACAGAACCACTTATTACTTTTCAAAACTACTTCCGTCAGTGGTCTTGACCAGTTTGCATTTATAAAGAATGCACAAATGTGTTTAATCGTTAATGTCAGATATGTACGAAGTAAATACATTTGTTCCTGCTCAAGATTAGATTCAACTTTATTGTTATGGCACAGATTACAGGAGACAACGAAATGCAGTTTAGCTTCTAACCAGAAGTGCATAAAGCAGTAAAGTGAAAAGTAATGTACACAATCTACAGAATAAAATTAGAATTAATTGAATGATGAAAAAACAGTGAAGGGTATGAATACACTAGATATACACAGTAGCCTGTGAGAATGAAAACGGTAAGCAGTGCAAGTATAGTATAAAATATATAGATATTAATGTCATGATGATAAACATTGTGGAACAATGATGAAAAATCTGAATGGAAGTGACGTAAAACTGACACAAAACAACAACAAACTTTTGCCGAGCCAATGGAGAGTTTCATCTCCAGCACGGGGTAAAAACCACCAATGAGCGCTCAGCTCGATATACCAACGAGTCGTTTCCCATCAAGCATTTCGTTTCCGCAGCTCATGGAGAGAAACTGCTCCGCCTCGCTCTCAAGTCTGCGGGCGTCTTTGTCCCGCGAGATTTCAACGTCTCATGTAGTCGAGCTGTTGTGGCAATCCAGTACTCACAACAGGAAAGAATGAAACAGAGAGGAATCAATGAAACACAAACACAGAAATAGTTGAGATTAATCATTATTATTTAGTTGCGCACCACCAAACAACAATGGGGAAACATTACCTTGCTTCAACAGCAACCAATCGCAGAAATGCTCCCACGAACACAAGAAAACACAGGGCAGATATAGGTTTTCTAAATGACACACGAACATGTTCCCTAACCATGTTTAACGCACACACATTGTCAGTTCTCCTAAACTTGGACATGTTCCAGATGTCGAAAGGTCATCATCTCATGACTTCTTTAGGAGTCTTGCAGGATATGAATTATCCAATTAACCAAAAATATATACGTCTGCACATGAACGCACATACATTTCTTCCATTAACTAACACTTAACTGTATTATATCTAAATGTAGCCTCTTTGCATTTCCTCTGAGCTCGGTGTCAGCTCACTTAACGTAATAATTAGCAAAGAGGCTATTCTATGGAAACTGTAATTCAATAACATACCTAGTTACTATGACTAGGTCCAAGATTGATATAACATTCCCTCCTTTTATTAATTTAAGTTTCCAGATCATCCAATAAATACTCTTACAAATAACCTTTTGAGATCCGCCCTGGAAAGTCCAAAATGACTTTCTGAAAAATATTTATCAATCAATAATCATTTTACTCAAGGCAGAAGTCACAGGGTTACCTGTACTACTCACAAATAGCCAAAAAAACACCTTTTTGATTATAACACAAAAAGTGGAAGAAAAGACAATTTGCGCTAATCTACTCATTAAATCATTAAAAAACCTCAGTATGCTTAAGAGGAAAAAATATATTTGTCCCATTCAAGTTTAACAAACTTACATACATAACCTAATAACAAACTAACATTCAATTTAATACTTGATTATACATAATGAAAAATGTTCCAAAACACTTATAGCAAGATGTAACTGTTGTCCACTCGTTCTGCTTCTGTCAGTAAACACTTCTTCAGGGTGTGCACGTTCCGATCTCCATGCGTAGCCTTTATTCGTTGTCCTCTGCAGCTGTAGTCAGTGGCAGGGTCCCCAAAAAGCTAGAAACGGCCCTGGTCAGTGGGCTCAAGGAAACTCTTGTGGCATTGGGATGTCTGGAGGGAAGGAAACTCTTGGATCAATGTGGTACAATCAGCAGACACACGTTGTCCTCTGCACAGTAGAAATCCCCTCTTCACACCACTGTTGCCTTGACAACAAGGGTTCATGTCCATTTCAAGCAAAATGTCAAAACCTCCTCAGAGATGTGTCATGGCCTGGCTCTTAGCCATAACAAAAAGCGTGGGAAGGACCAGAATATGGAAAGGCCCATTGCCTGGAAAGGTTAGATGCCGCCTATCACAGTGCTCTGTGATTTGTTACTAACTGTAAAGCACTTACTCATCACTGTACCCTGTATGCCAAGGCAGGTCTGCCTTCACTTACTGTTCGGAGGCTCAGTCATTGGTACATATTCATATATAAAGCCATGCTGGGTAAACTACCGACTTATATATGCTCTTTGATCTCACGGAGAGTGGCAAGTAGCTATTGCCTGAGATCCCAGGATGTGTTTTTATTACATGTGCCAAGTGCTAGGACTGTTTTAGGTACTAAAGCTTTTATGTGCGCTGCTCCTCTGGCTTGGAACACTATGCACAAAACATTGAAACTGAGCATTTTGATTCCCTTGCATCGTTTTAAAGCACGGCTGGATGAAATGTTATTGGATACCTGTCACTGTGAATAGGTTGCTAATTTATACCCCTGTAATTATGTTGTGATGTCCTTTTGTTTTCTGTTGTTTTTATGTGTAACTAATGTACCGCAGGTCTCCCTTGAAAAAGAGATCGTTGATCTCAATGGGATTTTTTAACCTGGTTAAATAAAGGCTACAAACAATATGTAAAAAAGGTATTTATTTCACAACACTTAACCTCTTAAGCACGGCGGTCCCCCCATTGGACCCCTCCCACCGTTTTTTTTTCGAGATAATGTCTCAGGGCTTCTTAACATTTATGAAACGATTCATGTGTAGCACCAGATTAACGAGAAGAATCTCAGCTAACTGAAGATATGAACCATTTTTACCAAAACAAAACACAAGTCTCATAAGAAGCGTCTATTGCGGCTTTCACACCAGCGCTTTTCCCTTTCTAGCTCCTAGCGCGAGCTTTTCTGGTTCAGCTCCGGTTTCCCTTTTCAGCTCCCGCTCTGTTCACACCGCCCAGAGCTGCCGCTGCTGCGTCATGACGTCACAGTTTACGTCGCTGATTTTCTCCAACAACAACAACGGGCCGGGGACTGCGTCGGGTCGATGATCGTGTTGCTTTTAATCATACGAAGCCAGATTAAATTAAATAACGACTTCTCCAACCTTATACTTTTCTCCAGAGTGCCGTGGTTCATTGTTTATTAATGTGTTTCATTTAGCGACCGCTGCAGTGCTGGCTGCTCTTCCACGTGAGTGTATTCTCCCGTTAGCTCCGGGTTAGCTCACACGGCTCTAAAGTATTCACTGTCTGACTGTCACACAAGCAGCTGATACATATCCCCAGTTCCCCTTAAGTGAATGTGTGTCAGTCTGAATTGACGCTGTTTGGCATCACAACGCTGTTGTGAAAGTTTCTCTGGTATAACATGGGTGATGTTAGCATAGCAACCGAAGCTAAACTGACTACTTGCTAAGCCGTTTTCTACAGGCACATTTTACCGGCGTATTTTTCATTATGATTCTACTTGTGATAGTCGGACATGACAACCTGTGTAGCCCATGTATTGATTCCATCCGATAGCTGCTATAATAACAAACAAAAGTCTGCCTGCTCTCCACAATGATCAATAACAGCGAACGGATGGTCAAAGTAAGGTTTCCTGCACGCCTCGACGTAAGAGACGTAAGCGACGCCGCGTCATAGCTCCGAAGCTCTTGCCTCTGGACCGACAATTTTTTGGAGCTGGAAGTGAACCGCATTCCGGAGCTATGACGCACCGCCGCTGCGGTGTGAACAGGAAAAAACGGCGCTTTTCCAGCTCCAGCTCCGAGCAGGAGCTGGAAAAGCGCCGGTGTGAAAGGGGCATAAATGACCCCTGAGCGAAAAAATTCTAACGCACTGCGGCACACAATTCAAGATAAAACATACCCTTATTACTTATCGTAGCTGCACATACAATATAGCCTATTAAAGCTGAGACTCCACTGATTATTTAGGTATAGTATCATCACTGAGCGATCCGAACTTGCGACAGGGGAAGCAAACACAGTCATCACAACACGTACCGTTACGGAGCTTTTCCGGCTGATCGTCTCACCGTAGCTGTCAATTAGGTCAAAAGACGTGTTCAATGGCATTAAAACGAAAAAAAAAAATACTACAACTGTTGATCCATAGGTTGATAATGTACCTGTGCCTTTGAAGAAATTATTTATAATCCATAATTCCATTTTTTTATGTAAAAATCGGAGTGGAAAAGTTAGCTGCTAATGGTAGCCACCAGAGTGTATGCAGCTTCCGGTTTTGGTAACGCGTCACTCTCACTCCTTATTTGTTAACGTGTTGGTGTGTATATAACTTTCCCTCGATTCCATTGGCTCTGGCGGTTATAAAGAGATTTCATTCATCAAAATCGAGCAAGGGGGGCCAGAGATAGGTCAAATCCACCCAAATGACCCCAGAAGTGGAGGTTTTTGGCTAAATCTCTCTAAAAAGGTCAAATTTCACTTGTTTTGCATACATTTTGATACACGGTACTTATTATATGTTGTACTTTGGATTCCTAAAGCTTTTAGTCTACTAACCCATCATCCAAGGGTAGTTTGCACTATAAGTAAAAAATAATGTTTGGACGGACACTATAATTTACAGTTTTTTACTATGTAAAATCTGA